GAGGCCGCGGTCACTGAGCACGCACTTCACGCAAGCCGCAGTCTCTGTGCCCCCCAAGATCCAGTGATGGGACCCTCCACCTTCATTCCTGCCACCCTGTCAGTGGTTTAGAAGTGCTGACTCTCTGTATTAAACACTTTGGGCTTGAAATGCCCAGAGAGGTGCCCCGAGCAAAGGTGGGTGATGCAGTGCTTCGTATCACAGGTCATTCCAGGAGAGAGCTTCAAAGGCAGAAATCCACAATAGGTTACAGGAAGTGATGATCTCATTATTGCGTGGTGGGTCCGAACCCCTGGTTCCTCTGAATGGGATGTAATTTGGAAGTAGGGTCTCTACAGAGGTAATTAAGATAAAATGAGGTCACTGGGATGGGCCCTGATGCAATAAGACTGGTACCTTATGGAAAGGGAAAATCGGGACACAGACACGCACACAAGGGGGCAGGTGCAGATGCAAAGGCTGACCCTAACCCTAACCCTAACTCAGCGGCTGGGAGAGGCCCGGAGCAGGGGCCCCCTCAGAGCCTCAACAGGAACTCTCCCTGCCCACACCTCGACTTCCAGCCTCCAGACTGAGAGACAATGAGATTCTGTTGTTTCGGCCGCCCGGTCTGTGCCGATCTGTCACGGCAGCCCGAGCGGACTCACGCAGCCTGTGAAGAACAGGGGATGGGTGGCCGCCGCGAGCTATGTCAAGACACGTGTCTATGCCTCGCTGGCAGCAAGTGTTTCCTGAAAGCCCGGTTCTGGGAGCCCGAGAAGCAGCTGCAAAGCAGCGTTCTGGGGAAACGATGGGGCGGGCTGGCGATTTCTGACTTCCCCGGAGAATATGACGTTTTTAAGACGACAAGCTTTAAGTTCTCAGTTCCAGGGTAGAACCAGAAAATCGGAAAATCTGTTGGACTACTATGAAAGAAGATCTGGTTTCTTGTGGCAGGACCGTTGTATCTGGAAACCACTCCCCCAGCTTCATCCTGGGGCTGGCAGGATTCCCACAGACAGCGGGTTCTCCACCCCGTCAGGTCCAGATCGGAGCGCGGAGAGGAGTGAGGACGGAGACCCCGGGGTGGTAGGACCTTGCCCCGCCCGCGGGGCTAAGCCCATAAAGCCTGGCCCGCCAGCACAGGGGACCCTCCTCCCTGAGACAGCCCCTCCCATGGGGACCACACTGAGGCAGTCACTTGCCTCGGGGAGGCGATTCTCCTCCAGACCCCAGCCCAAGAATACCAAGATTTTGCTGACTCACAGCAGAGAGCCACAGCGGGCCCACATGGGTGCTCTTTCCAGACACTCGGGGCCCCACCTCTTGCTTTCACCAGCGAGGGCCTTTCCTTGACCTCCTCCAAACTTTGCCCCTTTGTTGCTGGAAACTTGGACTAAACGCAGCACAGCTGAGCTGCCAGAAATCCCTTGGTGTAATACATAGGGGAGACTCCAGGGGCTTAGGGAGATAAGGACGCGCTGTGAATGTGCCAGGTGCAGCCCACTCACTGGGTCCCTTGCTGTGTCCCCAAAGCACCTTGACAGGGGCCCTGAGGAAGCCCATGGTGAGGACCTCACGTTCTTGAAAAGCCCTCTGTGGGTCAGGAATGATGGTGGAGGTGCTGATTTCCCCTGGGCACCCTAGGGGGCAGGCCCAGGGGTCAGGAGAACAGGGTTGTGGGAGCAGTGGTCACGAGGGACAGTGCCGGACTCTTCGGCATTGGTCTTGGACTTGCAGCTGGTCAGACGCCCCTAGGCCTGAACAAGATGGACGTTGTAGGAAAGCTCACACTGATCATTGAGAAAATAATCCAGATCAGGTGAGGAGAGATCTGACGCCAAGCACCTAACAGAGTCCGACCTCTCACCTGCCCCCAGCCCGAGCTAGTTCCAGGACTGGGGGCCCGAAACAGAGGGCAGAATGGGCCCCGCCGTGCAGGATTCCAAGTACACACTGCAAATCCCCCGCCTGCCTACTCCAGCGTTCCGGTCCACTGTCGCTGTGGAGCCAGCCACCACGTGGGCCGAGTTCAAGAATCTCCCGTTTAGGCCGAGTCCGCGGGAAAGGCGCATCCCTGCTCCCTGCAACGTTAGCTGGCGTCGCCCCGCCAGCGGGGGACAGAAACCTCCCTGCGCAAGCCGGTGGCCGCGTGGTTGGCACGGGCCACTGCCTGCCAGTTCCTCTCCACCCAGGCTGCGCTGCGGGCCACTAGGCTCCGCCGACTAGGTGGCTGAGTTCCAAGTGAGTTCCACTGGCCGTGTCACCTTTTATGACCCGGTCCTGGGAGTCCCAGAGCATCGGTACTGCGGTATGTGAAGGCTGACCGGGGACTCGCTCTCTCTTTGGCCGCTCGTGATGGGGGAGCCAGACCCGCAGACATTTCTCCTTCACCGGCTAGCTTGATGGGGCTTCCTCGCCAGAGTGCGGGAGCAACGCGGCTGCCAGGGAGAGCAAGGGGCTCCCTTTCTGTCTCAGGCTGCTTCTCTCTTCCTACGGCGCACTGCCTGCGGGCCAGCAAGGGGAAGGCTCTTCAGTGAGTTTCTCCTCCACCTGTGGCTGCTTCTGGTGGACCTCCTCCAGCCTGTCCCATGCCCAGCAAGATTCTCAGCCCTGGTGGGCAGTTTCCATGGCCCTCACATACCTCTCCTGCAGACCAGCTCTGGCTCTCAGCCGCTGGAACCTTTCTTTGCCCCAGGCAGGCTGCACGGTCCCACAGCGGCCACGCTGTCTCCAACCAAGGCTGGACCTTACCCTAATAGGAGGCTGGGACACACTGCTGCGCGGAGTGCTCTCTCACAGGGACTCTGGCTAATCGGGGTGTCCAGAATGAAATACATGGGCAGCCACCTAGACTAGTGCTGGCCTCGTGGAACAGAAATGGAGCTCTAGGCCTTATGGCCAAAACCTGACGTGAGTCACCACCCTGAACGGCTTTCCCCTGCCTCCCAGTGCTCACGAAGTGGCCATGGCAGCTGGGATAGAGGCTATGGGCTCAGCAACACAGACTTCCCCTAACCAAGGCCCGCCTGCCCCCTAACAACTGCGGAGTGCCCAGCCGCTCAACAGCACTGAGCCCCCGGAATAGCTCCGCTCCCTGGGGGGGACCAGCCAGCCACCTGACAGCAGGTTGGCTAATAGGATGTTTCCATCATGAGGCAGTGACTTGTCCTCCCTGCATAGACACTTCCTCTGGATACGGATTTCTCTTCCCGCCTACAAGGCTTTCCGCTAGAGCAGCACCGGAGTGCGCCGGAGGCCGGCCAGCCCGTGCCCACACAACACCGCTTCTGACCGAGGAGGTCATTTTGCAGAAGGAGGTGAGGCAAGGGGCTCATTCCCCGGGATTGCTCATCTCGGGCACGTACTGCCCACGAGCCACTGGGCTGTCAGGACGGTGGCCCGGCCCGTTGCAGACTCCGTTACAGGATCAGCTGGGGTGACCCAACAGGGCTGGGTGCTGTCCTGTGAGAGGCAGTGTGCCCTCCAAACCAGGGACTCACGGCCAGGACACACAGTGGGAACCAGGGCGGCAGGTGTGAGTGGCTCCCCACCTGAAAGCCCCGTGCAGGCTCTCATCCCCCAGGGCTGGAGGCTTCTGCCAGGGCACACGGGACCAGAAGTGGAGATGGGCCATGCCGAGCAGGTCCGGGCACTGAGCCGCAGGCCAGGTGGATCCAGAGTCACCGGGGCGCAGGGCTGGGTGGGCGGCCCATAGCTCTCAGGAGACACCTGGAAGCCCGCAGGTTGACTATCACATCACTAAACGCAGCACTTTGTGGTCAGCACCAGCCACGGGGCAGTGGCTCGGGTGCAGGATTTCTGACGGCCCAGGGACGCTATCCACCGGTTACCTTGCAAGGATCCCACCTAAACAGGAGCCTGGAACATTGAGTCTGCATCTGCACAGCTGGGGGACTTTCTGGAGGGCGCGCGAAGTGCGTCATTTAGGGCTGCGCAGGCCCGGCCGGCAGCGTCCTCGCGCCACGGTCGCGGAGGCCTGCAGGGGCGGGTTCGAACCCGTGGACCGCCGGCCGCTCGCCCGCACGCGCTTCGCTTTCTGCGGCGCCTGGCCCCGCGCGGCCGCCGTAGGGGGCGGGGCCGACGTACGGCGGCCGCGAGGGCGGCGAGGGGGCGCGGCGGGCGGGGCCGCGGGGCCGGGGCGCCATGGGCAACCTGTTCGGCCGCAAGAAGCAGAGCCGGGTCACCGAGCAAGACAAGGCCGTCCTGGTGAGAGCCGGGCCCCGCGGCGACGGCGGGGGCGCCTGGGGCGGGGCTGCCCGGCCCCGGAGGGCCTGCCGCTGCGCCGGACCGCGGGCGGCGGGCGTCCCGAGCCGCGGGGCGCGTCCGCGCGGGGGCCGCAAGGCGATGCGGGCGGGGGAAGCCGGGGCCGCGGTGTCGGGGCGTCGCGCCGCGTCGTGGTCACACCTGGTCGGCGGGCGAGCGCGCGCTCGCCGGTGGCGGGTCCCGAGCCCCGCGCCCCGGGCCGGGGGGCCGGGGGGCCGCGGGGCCGCGACTCGGGGCGCGCCAGCCTCGCCTGGGTCTGCGAGCCTGTTCGGCCCCCTCGGCACTCTGGCTGGGCTGCCGCCACCGCACTGGGCTGTGGCCGCGGTGCTGCTCTGGCTGTTGCGGATTCCGGGGAGCGCCGGTAGAAAAGTTAGTTTCTGTGGACAGGACCCTCGGAGAGGTTCAGTGAATGGCATGTGCACCCCGATCCGTTTCCGTAAGGAGAGAAGTGTGCCAGGAAGGAGGTGGTCCAAAGTCTGAGCAGAGTTTACCTTTGCCCGTGCTTTCCTTTCAAAACTACCTGCAACAAAATGCGTCATTTTTGTACGCAGAGAGAAGTTCAAATGACGCCTTGGCTGCAGAGACCCTACGTTATAAAAGGTTCTTAACTGAAGTTCCCCCGATGAAGGGGAATCGGGCACGTTTGTCCCTAGAGAACATCTGAAGGGCGGTGGGTGCTGCACGGGAAGAGCACTGAGCTCTGGGGAGTCAGGGGGCGCACCTGGCGCCCGTGGGAACCCCCGAGGCGCTTCTCTTCTCCTGAGGACTCACCTTTGGGTTTCTCTGGAGGGAGGCCTTTCCGCTTGCCGGGAATTCAGTTTGGTGTGGCCCGGACTGGAACAACGCGGTTTGCACACAATAAACCGAATTACTGCCTGAGGTTTTCCTGGCTGTAAAGCTGAGAAGCTCCAGGCCCCAGTGTGCTCTCTGCCCTGTGACCCTCCGCTGACGCCTCTCATTTTACAAAGGAGGCAGTCTGGCCCCACCTGCTTCTTTGGCTCATCTTCAATACTCTGTACACGCCCAGCTTGGACAGTGGCCCGAGGGGCAGGGGCGGGTGCCCAGCCCCCCGGGGAGGAACGGCAGCCAGAGCTGAGAAGACTGCACACGTAGGCTGGTCACGGTGTCTCTGGGCCATGGGGCCGGGATAGCGGGCCCCTTTCATTGCAGCAAGGAGAATGTGTGCGGCCATCACCTGGCCTGACCCACAAGCCATGCGGTTCCCTGGGACAGGCACTAAGGAGAACGTGCTGTAGAGGGACCCGTGAAGCAGGCCCCTGCAGACACGTCTACGCTGGTGGATGGTTTCTCACTGTCCTGAGTCTTAAAGATGTACGAACCTTTTGACTTAATTAAGTTAATTAACTCAACAGTAATCGATGCTAAAGATATAAAGCTACATATGAGAAATGCCCTGTGCCTGCAGGTGTTCACCGTACTGTCATCTGAAATGGTGAGATTTGGAAGCAATGTGAATGGCCTAAAATAGGACATGTGTAAATGACCCTGTGTCCTTTCTGGGACAGTACCCGGGGGTCCCAGGTGCTTGGCAAGATCCCGCAAGCACTTCACCCAAATGTGCCGTTTGTTGTCAACTCAGACACGGTGATAAGCGACAAGAGCAGGGTAGCTAAAGACATCGAGAACACGTCTAAAGCCGGCAGAGCGAAGCCGGGATGGAAGGTCCCAAACCCTCGCTGTGCTGGGTGGGATGGTGGCTCTCTGGGGCCCTTCTCTGCTGTCTCTGAGCCTTTGAGGCAGCGGCAACCCTCTGACCCGCCGCCCCCCCCCCCCCCCCGAGCATCCACAGCCATGCTGTGCAGTGATGCATTCGAGAGCAGGCTCTCCACCTCAGGGCTGTGGACACTGGGGCTGCCTCCCCCCTGTGCGGGGCGTCCCGGCATTGCAGGATGCTGAGCAGCACCCCTGGCCTCCACCCACTGGAGCCAGGAGCATGCCCCCCCAGAGGTGACAGCCCCAAATGTCTCCAGACGTTGGCCCACGTGCCCTTTGTCCCCACGGAGAACTCTGTGCTAGAGGGTGCTGGGTGGCCTGCGCGGGGCCCGGGGCAGCGAGAGCACGGTGTTGACCAGGCCTGCGCTCTCGCAGCAACTGAAGCAGCAGAGGGACAAGCTGAAGCAGTACCAGAAGAGGGTCACCCAGCAGCTGGAGCGGGAGCGCGAGATCGCCAGGCAGCTCCTGCGGGACGGGAAGAAGGAGTGAGTGGGGCCCAGGGCAGGCTGTGCAAAGGGGCTGCAGTCCCCTGTTGGCCTAGAGCAGGGGGCGGGGTAGGCCCAGGAGAGGCCGGTGCGTGCCGGGTAAGGCCAGCCAACGGGCACGGCTGGCGGGTCACCGTGCGGGTTCCCTCTGCAGACGGGCCAAGCTGCTGCTCAAGAAGAAGCGGTACCGGGAGCAGCTTCTGGACAAGACAGAAAACCAAATCACCAGCCTGGAAACGATGGTAGGCGGAGCAGGCAGTGGGGGGAGAAGGAGGTGGGGGAGGCAGGCCCCTGACCACCTGGTCTGCTTTGGCATCCTCAGGTCCAGAGTATTGAGTTCACCCAGATTGAAATGAAGGTGGTCGAAGGGCTGCAGATTGGAAATGAGTGTCTGAAAAAGATGCATCAGGTGGGTCCTTGCAGGGCTGGGGGCAGAGTGGAAGGGGAGCTGGGTGAACGAGGGGGCGGGGCTTGTGCCCGAGGCCACACCTGTGCCCAGGCCATTGGCCAGGAGCTGTTGGTGCCAGCTGGGAATGTGGGAAAGCCAGTTGCTACCGAGAGAAGGTGATGCTGTTGGTGGTGGACAAACCCAGGGTATTGACCTGAGAGTGGGGTGATGGGCACAGACGTTCAAGTTACTGGAAGAAAAGTCCAGTGAGGGTGCAGGAACGGTGTGGTGAACTAATTGGGAGGGCTTCCTGGAGGAGGTGAACACAGCCTTGTCATAGGATGAGGCATAGAGGTGGGTAGCAAAAGGAGGGGTGAGGCCCAGAGAGGCCGTGCCCCAGCCCACCCCCATCTCCTGATGAGTGGACAGCAAGGGCTACACAGAGCGCCACAGCCACCCAGCTTCTCTGACCGCCGTCCGTCTCTGACCACCTCTGACCAGGTGCTGTACCTGCCAGGCAAGCAGAGGCACTTCTTTGAACCCAAACGAAATCAAGTGAGCTGCCCAGAGAAAGTTTTTGACACCTTCTTACTTATTTCTTTCTTTTTTTTTTTTTTTAATTTTTTATTTATTTGACAGAGAGAGAGACAGTGAGAGCAGGAACACAAGCGGGGGGAGTGGGAGAGGGAGAAGCAGGCTTCCCGCCGAGCAGGGAGCCCAAGGCGGGGCTCGATCCCAGGACCCTGGGATCATGACCCGAACCGAAGGCAGACGCTCAATGACTGAGCCACCCAGGCGCCCCTAGAAATATTTATTTTTTTAAAGATTTTATTTGACAGAGAGAGAGCAGGAACACAAGCAGGGGGAGCGGGAGAGGGAGAAGCAGGCTTCCCACGATCAGGGGGCCCGATGTGGGGCTCGATCCCAGGACCCTGGGATCATGACCTGAGCCGAAGGCAGACGCTTAACGACTGAGCCACCCAGGCGCCCTCTTACTTATTTCTGCCTGGACCTTCTAGGCTGGTTGGGGTGCCGGGAGGTCTGGGGCGAAGGGCCAGCAGGAGTCTGAGCAGTGCAGTCGAGGCTTCTGAAAAGACGGGTCTTTTCGGAGCCCTGGAGCCTCTGTGCATGGGCCCAGCCCGCGGCAGAAACGACCAGAACTGTGTCGTGGCCCACGTGGCCTGGCTTGTGCCCTGCCGGTCCAGGTGGCCTGACTGCAAGGGCTTCTGTTGGTGCCTCACTGACTAGACTCCCTCTACCCTGATTAGGTGATGTCCATAGAAGAAGTGGAGCGGATACTGGAGGAGACCCAGGAGGCCGTGGAGTACCAGCGGGTAGGTGTTGCCGGGTTCCAGGGCCCCCGCCTTCCACCAGCCTGCAAGCGCACCTACCACCTACGTGAGTGCCCAGTGGCCGCCCTCGAGTGAGGGGGGCCCTTGAGCCCTGGGTTGTCTCCTTCCTCCACAAGAGGCCACTTACCCCCTGCCCCAGCCTGGCCACGGTCCTCACCTCTGCTCTTCCGTTCGCAGCAAATAGATGACCTATTGGCAGGAAGCTTCACTCAGGAAGATGAAGATGCCATCCTGGAGGAGCTGAATGCAATCACTCAGGTAATAGGACCTCTCAAACTGAGCACAGTCACTCATGTGATAGGACCCCCAGGACTGAGCACAGTCACTCAGGTGATAGGACCCCCCAGGACTGGGCACAGTCACTCAGGTGATAGGACCCCCCAGGACTGGGCACAGTCACTCAGGTGATAGGACCTCCCAGGACTGAGCACAGTCACTCAGGTGATAGGACCTCCCAGGACTGAGCACAGTCACTCAGGTGATAGGACCTCCCAGGACTGAGCACAGTCACTCAGGTGATAGGACCTCCCAGGACTGAGCACAGTCACTCAGGTGATCGGACCCCCCAGGACTGAGCACAGTCACTCAGGTGATCGGACCCCCCAGGACTGAGCACAGTCACTCAGGTGATCGGACCTCCCAGGACTGAGCACAGTCACTCAGGTGATAGGACCCCCCAGGATTGAGCACAGTCACTCAGGTGATAGGACCCCCCAGGATTGAGCACAGTCACTCAGGTGATAGGACCTCCCAGGACTGAGCACAGTCACTCAGGTGATCGGACCCCCAGGAGGCTTCTGCCCGTCATGGTCCTTGGCCTTGGGTGAACACCTGCATCAGCTGTCACATGAGCACACAATCCTGGTTTTGCAGCTGGTGTTCCTAAAGCGACTAGAATTTGTCCTGCACTGAGGCCCCGTCTCCTTGTGTACCTGGCTGACAGCAGGGGAGACTGGCCTGGAGAGAACGGTGTCCTGGGTTGTCCACCCGAGAACGTTGCAGGCGCCTGGGGCAGCCTGTAGCCAGGTGTGCCTGGACAGCGCAGAAATGCTCTGACTCCTCACTCAGACCCTTCAGAGGGACAGAGTGTGGTTTCGTGATCACATGAGTGGTCTTTCCTGTTGTGGCCAGGTCACTCACTGTCGCGCGCAGGCCCCGAGGCCTGTGTCCGCTCCCTGACAGCGATCCCTGTCTCTGGGCCACCGCCTCAGGGCTCCACGGGCTCACTGTGGCCCCCACCTGCCACTCCCCGTACCTGCAGGAGCAGCAGCTAGTTAGGGTTGCTGCTGTCTGCCCTTCAGTGTCCCGTGGGCACCTGCCTCCTGATGTCCTTCCTCCCGAGGACCCAAGTGCCCCCTGAGCTGCCAGGGGAGCCGGCTGGGAGGTGAACTGCCATGCGTTGCCCCCGAGGCAGCCCAGTGCCCCCCCGGGACCGGCAGCTCCACCACAGTCCTGCCCCAGAGCGAGCACAGCCGGGGCGCCTCTGCAGCTCCGGGACCCGTGTGCGTGCGTGTTCCTGAGCCCGCGCGTGTCTGCACAGCCAGGGTGTGAACCGGGGTCTCCAGGGAAGCCCCCTGGGGTGATGCAGGTCTCGGAGGTGCCGGACGCTGCAGACGTGGCGCTCTGGAGCTTTGGCGGGGAGGCTTCTCATTCAGATGGTGTCCTACAGCCTCCGCCCTGTTTCTTGTAGGAGCAGATAGAGCTCCCAGAGGTCCCTTCAGAGCCGCTTCCCGAAAGGAAACCAGGTATGCTTCTTGTCCTGTCCTTTGGAGAACAGTGGGTTCTAGAACAAAGAGCAATGCCCGGGCCGCGAGGTCCTTCGCTTCCTGCTTGGTGGAGGTTGGTGCACACCTCCCCAGCTGGGTAGGCGGCCTGCTGGAGCCAGCTCAGGAGCACGGGCCTCACTCTGGGGTCGGGCCTGGGTCTCTGGGGTGGGGGTGACCTGGTGGAGCCTGACCCCCTTCAGAGAGGCAGAGCTGGGGAAAGGCCGAGTCCGGCCAGGACGAGCTGTCCTCTGAATAGCAGGGCCCTGTGGTGTCACTCGCCGCTGGGGCCCCGTGTGGCTGGTGGTCCCTCCGTGTTTCTTTCTGCCCCTTTCCCCGTTCCTCCTTCATGCCAGGCCCCTCCCGGAGTGCGCCGCGTGGGACCAGGCTCCTCGCCACCCTCCTTCCTTCTGCCTTTGGGGTCTTCTCTACTCGACAGACACCTCTTTCTTTCCTCCGCAGAGCAAGTCCCCCGCGAGGCCAGGCCCAAGCAGGTGGAACTGGTGGCAGCCTCGTAACTTGGCCTCCTCTTCCAGGACTGGCGGGGACTCCCCAGAGACTGGGGCCCACAGAGTTTGGGTGCGTGGCCAGCCCGGCCCGGCTCCCAGGAGGCCGGCGCCAGGCCAGGCCGGTCAGGTGCTGACGGAGCAGCGTGGCGCACCCAGGGCTCCATCCCAGGGTGACTGCGGATGGGCGCTTCCCTGGTGCTGCTGTCTTGCTCTCATTTCTGGATTAAATGGCAACGTTCAGACCCTCCGGCCACACACGGCCTCTGACGCTGTGGCTCCCACGCAGCCACAGGCAGACCCAGCGCTCCTGGTGCTGGCCACACTCCTGTCCCCGGCCCCGCGAGGCTCCACGGCCGCCTTCTCCGCAGCTCGCTCTCTTCTTTCGAGGGCGTGTCGAACCCAGCTTCCTTGCCCGCCCTTTGCTCACTTCTTGCTGCTGCCGGCGGCCGGCGGCTTCCGTGAGGGAGTCCCTGCCATGGCCTGGCTTCCTGACCTGCCCAGTCTCCTTGTCGCTTCAGGGCTGGAAACCAGTCCTCCTCTGTGTCGGTGTTTGGGGGCGTTGGGCCGGCGAGGAGGGGGACCACCCCTGCTGGCTTGGTGGCTGCGGAGCCCCGACCAGCCCTCATCACCAGCGGGAGCTCGGCCCCACTGCAAAGGGACGTTCCTGGAGAGCCGGTGGTCTCCCAGGGCTTCCCGGAGGTGCTGACGGGCCCACTCGGGTGGGTGCAGCCCCTGTTGCCTGGGAAGCTGCACCCGGGGCTCTCCGACCGGGCGGACGCTGTGGGGGGTGATCGCGGCTCTCTATCTGACGGTTCATCTTGGTATTAGACAATCCCGATGATATCTCCCTCCCAACAAGAACAGAAAGGGGATCCTCCCAGCCCCCCAACAGGTCAGCCCCATATTAAAGTTGATGCCTGCATGGTCTGCTGCCTCATGGAGTAGGGTCCATGGGAGCACCTGGGTGGGTTAAAGTGTGGCTCTTCTCCTCTCGGGTCCCTGAAATACGGCCCCTTGACCCGCACAGGGCATTCACTCGAGGGCGCCTGCCTCAGGAGCACCACGTGGGGGCTGGGGACGCAGGGGCAGGTGAAGGTCCTCAGTGCGCCGGGTGGGGCTCCAGCACTGACCGCACCCTGGGCTCTGGCCGTCCCCTCAGGGCAGCTTCGTGTAGCAAGGTGCAGGGTAGGGTCCTGGTCCTCCTCCAGTGGAACAGACACTGGTGGTCCCCTCATTCACTGAGGCCGGCCTCAGACCCCTTGGGGTGAGGGAGGCTGGTCAGTTGGGTACCTCCTCCAGGAGGGGGGCTCGTTTGGAGTCCCAGTGCCCAGATGGGAAGCCAGATGCCCCAGGGAGTGAGCAGGCAACAGCAAGGAGAAGGATGGGGGGTGTCCCACTTATGGGGGCTTCCGTGCCCTTCAGTCGGAGGGCATGATGGGATGCAGCCGAGTTGCCCCGGGGGGGTGGGGGTGAGACCCGAGCTGAAAACCTGGGTTTGGAGGTGTAATGCCGGCCTCAGCCAGGAGAGGGCGCTCTGCCAGGTAATTTGGGGAAACTGGCATTGCCGGTGCCAGGCTGGCTGCTGGGCCCCACCCATGTTTCCGGTAACACAGCCAGCCACCCCCAAGACTGCACAATGGCCCTGAGGGCAGTTCTGAGAGACAAGGAGGCGCAGGCGGCCTTTCCATCCAGCGACCCTGTCCCACTCTGCAGCTGCAGGTCCAAGAGCGTGGAGGGAATGGACGGCCTGGTTGGGGGAGGTGCAGACCCCACTGGCAGGGTGGACCCATCTCCTTTCCGTCTGCTCCCCAGGACCCCAGAGCTCAGGGTTGTCTGCAAGCCTGCCCTTTGCAGTCACAGGCTGGCCTCCCTGAGGGCTTCGTCACGGGAGCTGCATGGTGGGATGTCAGGGCTCCAACTGCCCCCCTGGTGAGCGCCTGGAGAACCCGCCTGGGTCTGCATGGCCCACTCCCTGGCATGGGGAACACCGCAAGCAGCCTGGGCGTCCTGACCCGGGCGAGGGGCACCCCCATCTCCTGAAACAGCCCAAAAGTTGGGGAGGGAATCTTGTCCTCTCACACTGTCCAAGAAGTTAGATCTTACGTACCAATTAATCACCTTTTCTCTGTTTACACATTTATTCTGTTCACCTAGGGAGGTTATGCCCTGAAACCCAGCATGACCTTGAGCTGACTCCTAGGCTCTGGCCCTAGAGGTTGCCTGGCTTGCCAGCCCATGTGGGGCGGGGGGGGGGGGGGGCCGGGGTGACCCCTCCTGCTAGGATGAGCCTCACATTGATCCTGCCCAGCACTGAACCCTGGTCTTAAAATACCAGTGATGTGACCCTGACGCAACTTTGTTCTACAGGGCATAGCCCTCAGGAACACTACAGACAAGTGAGAACTGAGTTCAAACCTCTGGTGGCAGAGCTGGTATCCTGCCCAAGATCAGTGGGGGCTAGGGAAACAGGTGGGAGAGGCCTACAGGGGGGCCATGGGGCCATCAGACTAGAGAGGACTACCTGGGGAGCTGGGACAGGAAGGAGGGGTGAGGACTGGGCTCGGGGACCATTTTGGTGGGATGCACATTTGTCCCCAGTACAGGCAGCATGAAAGTTTAAAAGCAGGGGGTGGGGAGGCGGGGGCACCCAGGATGAGATGGGGGCACCACCCAGGATGAGGTGGGGCACCCAGTTATGGAATGGGGTCTCCCTGGCCCATCTGTGTGCCCTGCCCTAGGGAGGCCTCCTCCCCACCTACAGCCACCCCTTAGGGTCTCCCTGAAACCCTGCCCTACCCAGGGAGAGAATTGGGGGACATCAGGCAGAGTGTGGGGCATTGTCCTGACAACACGGGGGCTTCTGGAGGTGCCAGCTCCTCTCCGTGGTCACTCACTGGCCACAAACTCAGGAGGGAGGCCCTGCCGCCCTGTCCACATCCATGTGCACAAGAACAGTCGAAGCTCAGAGTGGCCACTGGAGGCCAGCAGAACCTGTGGTCTGAACCAGCCAGGCTGACAGGCTGCTGGGACAAAAATCCTTGTTCTCCAGAGGATCATGACAGACCCAGAGTCGACACAACACAGCAGCCAAAATGCCGGATTAGAACAAAGAATCATGAAAACGTGACCAGCTTCCAAGGGAAAAGACAATCAGTAGATGCCAACTCAGATCCAGGTGGCGGGATTATCGGAACTATGTCACAGAAGGTAAAGTTAAACACACTGGAAACAGATGGAAAGATCTCAGTTGGGGAGTAGAGAGGATACAAAAGAACGAGATGTAAATTTCAGAACTGAAAAATATACCAAAAATACAAAAAATTAACAAGCTCAACTGCAGAAAGGAGGTGTCCAAGGAAAGACTATGAGCTGGACGATCAGCCAACAGAAATCATCTGGTCTGGAGAAGAGACGGAAGTGTGGGGGCAAGTCCATGCCTCGGGGCAAGTCCATGCCTCAGGACCAGTGAGACAGGATGCGAAGGTCCAATGCTGTGTTACTAAAATCCCAAGAGAGGAGAACATGATAGCAGGAAAAAAAATTTTTTGGAGAAAGACTGGCCGAAAAGTTCTCACATTTGAGGAAAGACTTCAACTTACAGACAAGAATTGCAGTGACCCCCCAACAGGGCCAATCCAAAGAAAGCCGTGCCTAGACATATCATAATTAAACTGCTAAAAATTGAAGGCAAAGAAAAAAAATCTGGAAGGCTCCAGGTGGAAATGAAAGCTGTAGAGAGGAACAATGATCCAAACAAGCACTGGGATCAGAAACCACAGGGGCCAGAAGATGGGGAAGCGGGTCTTGAAAGTCTCTGAAGACAACGGTCAGCCCAGAGCTTTGGGGAGGAAGGAAAAGCGAGAACACTCTTCAGCAAAGGGAAAGAGCTGGTTGTGCGGACCTGCTCGAAAGGAGCTACTGAGGACGCTTTTCAGGCCGCCAGAAAATGATGCCACATGGACATGTGTGTCTTCAGGAATGGGGGAAAAACAACAGAAATGGTCAATATCTGAGTAAATTGAAAAGATAATTTTCCTTCTCAGGTTTTTAAAAATGTATGTGACTGCTGAAAGCAAAAATTCAAACACTGGTGGGGTTTTCAACACCTGTGAATGCCCACAGCTGTGACGTGAAAGGAGGGGGTAAGGCGTCTGCAGTTAACTCCAAATCCCCTGCGGAAGGGTGGGTGTATAGCGGAAACCCCTAGTGTGACCACACGTACACACAGATGCAGCCAAAAATCCGAAGGTTTTCAAACAATCCGAAAGAAGGCAGGAAAGGGGTAACAGAGGGACAGAGAGAACAATAAAGTGGTGGATCTAAAATCAATTCTTAATAACCACATTAAATATAAACAGTCCAAACACACCAGTTAAAGATAGATTGTGAATAAAAAACAAAAAGCCTGACTGTGCCATGTCTCAGAAGCCCACTTTAATATAAAGACAGGAAAAAAATAAAAAGATGGGGAAAATGTATCTTGGGAGATGCGAATCCGGGGAAAGCTGCAGTGGTCACGTCAGCATCAGACAGCGTGGATTTCAAGACGAATATCGCCGAGACGGGGGGGGGGGGGGGGACGTTATGTGACAAAGGCAGACATTGCAGTCCGAGTACCCATAGAACCACAGCACTTCAACGCACAAGCGGCAGAACCAAAGGACGGACCATCTCTTGGAGGCTGGACACGAGGCAGCAAGGCTTCCAGGATGAGGATGGAGACCAGCCGGACCGACTCACCCACTGCAGAGCGCACATTCTGTTCACGCAACACAGAACGCTCACCAACATGCACCGTGTTCTGGGCCATCCCGTAAACCTGAACAAAATTTAAAAAAAAAAAATTGAAATCCTACAAAGTATGTTCTCAGACCATAAAGTAATGACTGGAAATCAATGACAGGTCTCTGAAAGATCCACAGATATTAAACAATGGGGTAAAGAGGAATTCACAAGAGAAGTTAGAAAATATTTTTTAAGTGAATGAAAATTAAAACATTAACATTTGTGGACTATAGCTAAAGTAGCACTTTTCCTCTGAGGGAAATTCATAATACTAAATGCATATTTTTTTAAAAGGAAAGTTTCTAATCAATGAGCTAAACTTTCACCTTAATTAATTAGAAAAGGGGCAAATTAAATCCAAGGTAATCAGAACAAAAGAAATAACAGCAGAAATCAATGAAGACAAAAACATGAAAGAAAAATCAGTGACAGCAAAACGCAGTTATTTGGCAAGCTCAGTCAATTTTTTTTTTTTTTTAAGATTTTATTTATTTATCTGAGAGAGAATGGGAGACAGAAAGCATGAGAAGGGGAGGATCAGAGGGAGAAGCAGACTCCCCGCCGAGCAGGGAGCCCGATGTGGGACTCGATCCCGGGACTCCAGGATCATGACCTGAGCCGAAGGCAGTTGCTTAACCAACTGAGCCACCCAGGCGCCCCAAGCTCAGTCAATTTGATGAGCCTGAGCCAGACTGACCAGGACAAAGGAGGCACAAATTACAACATCGGGAATGAAAGGGAACCATCACTAGAGACCCTGTAAACAGTAAAAGTATATTAAGGAAATATTAGTTTTATGCCTGTGAATTCATCAATCTAGAAGAAAGGGACCAATTCCTTGAAAACCACACACCAGGCAGCTCGTCAAGGCTGCCCGGATGGGGCGCGCACTCGTGTCTGCTAAAGAAATGCAGTCCCGCTAGACACCAAGGGGAGACATCATAGCAATTTTGCACGAACTCAGGGAAAGCCGATGAGGGAGTGCTTCTCAACGTACTCTACCAGCATCCAGCATGAACACAGACACAAGATCCTCAGCAAAACAGGAGCAAACCTAATCCAGCAATATGTAAGAAGGGCTCTTTATCCTGGAATAACTTGATTCTGGGATCAATCAAATGGGGTTTATCCCAGAAATGTAGGGGTTTATCCTGGAAATGTAAGGTTCAATTACATACAGATATCAATCAATGTAATTCACAATATCAACAGACTAAAAAAAGTCTGATGACATCTCAGTAGATGCAAGAAAAGCATGTGACAAAATTGAGCAGCTAGCATTAAAAAAAACTTTGCAAACTAGGAAAAGAGGGAACTTCTTTATAAAAGGCATCTGCAAAACCCTACAGCTAACAGAATGCTTAATGGCAAAGGGCTGAATGCTCTTCCCCCATAAGACGGGGAACCAGGCAAGGGGACTCCTCTGGTCACTTCTATTCAACATCTCATTGGGGGTCCTAGTCAGCAGCATCAGGAGAGAAATCAAATGCACACACGTTGGGAAGGAAGAAAGATAAGTTTCTAGTTGTGGCAATGTGACTATGTACGTAGAAAACCCCGAAGGATGGGGCGCCTGGGTGGCCCAGTCGTTGGGCGTCTGCCTTCAGCTCGGGTCATGATCCCAGAGTCCTGGGATCAAGCCCCACGTCGGGCTCCCTGCTCAGCAGGAAGCCTGCTTCTCCCTCTCCCACTCCCCCTGCTTGTGTTCCTGCTCTCGCTGTCAAATAAATGGATAAAATCTTTAAAAAAAACAAAAACAAAAACCCGAAGGAATCTACAGGAAATCTGTGAGAACTAACCAGCAGGTTAGTGAGCTTATGGACTACCAGGTCACTGTATAAAATTCCATACATATTTCTATTTACTAGCAATGAACTACTGGAAGCAAATTAGAATTTTAGACTCGGGAAACAGACTTCCACTGCCTAGGATGGAGTAGCAGGTGCCAGGCCAGGGTGCCCGCTACAAAATAGGAAAAGGACAAAATACAGAGCTTGCCCTGTTGGAGCATCTGAGAGCCGTCGGAAGCGTTGCTTGCGCCTGCTTTGAGAAAATCTGAATCACGGGCCTTCGATATTGGCAGCTCTTGGGGGGGGGGGGGCGCCGTGAGGAAGCTTCCGGCAGGCCCCCTTCGATACACAGCCTTCGAAGGGCCTGGGCGTACGGCAAGGAGAAAGAGGCCTCCAGTGGCTCCCACGGCTTAAACCCTCTGCCGAAGACCATGTGTGTGCACCGTCAGATCCCCCTTCCCGGCTCCGGGTTCCTCACCACAGTTGGGCAAGATGGCCCGCCAGAGGACAGGAGGGCCGGGCCCGGGGTGGGAGGCGTCTGGGCAGGCCGGGAGGGCCGTGGTGCGGCAGCGTGACCCCGGGGTCGGGGGCCGCTAGATGGACCAGGTAGCTCTCCAGGTCCCCAGTCACCTACCCGATCTCCTGACAAAGCCCGATGCTGCTCAAGCCTGAGGCTCTTGACCACCAGGATGCAGATGCAGCGGCCCAGGGCCCTGGGTGGGGAGAGGGAGGTCTCGTGGCCCAGGGAAAGCCCCTCCCAGGTCCTGGCCTCTGTGTGACAAGGCTGAAGCCTGGTCCCACCCCACCTGTCCCGGGGGCTGGTGGTCAGAGGCCTTGGGCAGGTTGCTGGAGCCCAGCTCCCTGGCTCCCGGACACCACCTGGCAGCCCAGTCCTGCCAGGGCCACAGATGGTCTGGGCTCCCACCCAAAGCATCCGCAGGCAACAGGTCAGCACTTCCATTCACTCTGCGCGTCTGAGGGCAACTGCCCTGTTTCTTCCCTGAGAGCACCGGGCAGGGGAGGGGCTGCAGGTCCTCGAAGACATCTCAGATGCCGGACAGCCCGGGACCGTCTTCAGGCCAGGGGGCTCCATCCGGAATGCACCCAGGAATTGCTCAACTCACAGAGTGGCCCGTGGTCCCTGCTGCTTCTGGGGCTCTGCCTGGGCTGCAGGACGCAGCTGAACTGGGTCCAGGGAGTCCCTTCGGTAGCTGGGCGGACGGGGGCCGAGTTTTGGTCAGAAGCCTCTGAGAGCGGCTGTCTGGCCTCCAGGGCTCACTTCCCTGATGGAGTTCTGAGATAACGAAATTCTAGAGAAGTCTGGCTCCTCCAAGGAAAGCGCCACACACGTGCCAAGGTGCCCCCTGTCACGAGGCTTCAGGGAAATGCAAATCAAAACCACACTGGGACATCACCTCCCATCCACCAGGATGGCCAGACCCAAAAAACAAATCACAAAGCCGGTGAGGAAGTGGAGAAATCCGAGCCCTTGCGTGGTGCTGGTGGGGATGTGGATCGTGAGTCACTAGGAGGAACAGCTGGGTGGTTCCTCAAAAAGCTAAACATAGAGTCACCACGTGACCCAGCAGGCCCACCCCTGGAGACACACGCCACGGACCTGAAAACAGCGTTCCAACAGAAGGGTGCGTGTGCAGGTTGGCGGCAGCACCGCCCACGGTCCCCCGAAGGTGCAGACCTTCCCGCGGCCCCACTGTGGACGGACAGCACGCGGCGCATAGTACTCAGCCGTGAAGAGGACCAGGGAGCTGCCACACGGCGGACGCCCAAGACATGCGCCAAACGCAAAAGATCACACGGGGTAGGATCGCACTGACGAGAAGCCCACGGATGCAGAGAGCAGGCGCCAGCCGCGGGCGGGCCGGGGCTCCCCTCGAGCGGATGACAGTGCTCCGGAACCAGATGGGGGAGGTGGGCGCAGGGCGCGGTGAACGCACTCGACGCCTGTAATGAGGACGGAGCTGCACACTTCGAAAACGCTTCCTCTGTTACGTGATCTTCACCTCAGTCTTCAAACACGAGCTCACAGGGGCTTCTGAAGATACGGGTCACAGCCAGGGCTGTCAGGGGAGGGGACCCCATCCTCTCTCACAAGTATGACCTTTCCTTCCTCGCTGGGCCCCAGGAGGACAGGCTCCCGGAGGTCTATGGCTTTGTGGGGCCTCGAACATCATCAGAGAATTTCCCGTCCCTCAGACCCGGAGCGCTGCAGCCACCGGCCGACTGCCCAGACTCAGGGGCAAGCACGAGGACTGACACGACCGGAGTCCATGGCTGCCCTGTCCCTGTCACCATCCCACCCATTCCTGCAGCCTGTCCACCCGACTGTCCTCGAAGATGCTCTGCACATCCCCGCCTTGCCTGGGCCACGTCTCTCTGCAAGGGCCACCAGTCCCCATCACCTTTCTGGGCCGTCCACCAGGTGGCAGTGAAGGCTCCCCGATGCTCAGTCCCTGCCCACTGGCCCAGGCCAGCGCCCTGCCTCCTCTCCGCAGACCAGGGGGCCCAGCTGCCAGGCCCCCTGCTCCTGCAGGCGGAGCTCGGCATAAACTCAAATGCACCTGCACCCTCGGCCTCTATACCTCCCTCAGACGACGGGGGGTTGCCCATCCAGCAAAGCCACGCAGGGCTGTCCTAGGACTGACACTCCCAGTCAGATCAGACCTGTCCCAACTGCCTGCAAATTACCAGCTCAACTTCCCAGCCACACTGCACTGAAATCCCACGTCGGCTCTCCAACAAGGAGCCTGTGTCCCCGCAGGAAGAGTGTCGGCTTTTACTCTCCTGATGCAGAATCAAGGTCACTGACGTTTCCCAGCAGGAACTCTGCAGGCCAAAGAATGAAGGAAAATTACAACTGAACCCAACACACCAGCCCCTGAGGCCGCACAAAGGACTGTTGGCACCTGCGGTGCAGAGAAAGTCTCAGAATCTGGGTGTGAATTAACAGCAGAGCTGCCCGAGCTCCCCTGAGGCCTCGCTTCTGTCCCCACAGAGTGGCACTCTGTAAAGGCCACATGGTCGGTGTGGAGGTTAAATGTCACCCCAAGCTGTTTAAGTTGTTTTTCCCCACGGGTGGAATGTTCTTTTCATAGGGACATCCAGGCGACAGCCAAAGTTTCCAGGAGCCTCTGCAAAAATGTCTGTTTCTTCCAACTCTTGAGAGAGAGAAAGAGAAAAGCCTGATGGCGTAAATCATATTCTCAAGCTAGAAAACTAAAATGATTTTTCTCAAAGTCACGTCACCTTCCGACCAGACCTGCCAGGGAAGCAGTTCTGAAACTCCACACTTCTTTGGGATCTGAAAGCGTGGCAGTGGCCTGGCTCCTCGAGATGTGGAGCCCAGTGCCAGCCCCAGCTGCAGCCTGTGTCCCGGAGGGACCGCAGAAGGGACTGGCCCAGCGTCCCCAGCCCACTGCGTCCCCAGCCCACTGCCCACCCTGCCCCTGCCAGAGGCCAGGTGCTTCTGTGGCTTCTCGGTCTGGCTGCCCTGTGGACCTGGACTATGGGCATCGCTCTCCCCAAGACCCCAGACTCCTCTTCCCAAAATTCCCTACCATTTGCTCCAGGAGCTCGTAGCCAAATACCCTCTGTCCCCCACGGGTGTCCACCTGCACACGCCCGGGCACCGGAGCCAGCCTGGCCCCTTGGCCCGCTCTGCTCTCTGCCTGGCCGGTTATATCACGGTTATTCTAGCACATTCTAGGGTGAGCCGCAGCAGAGGATAACTGTACTCATGTGCTACCCAAGGGGACGGGACCTCACATGTCCCTGTGCCACGTCCAGGGGACACACCTGGCCCAGGAGATCCCCCCACATAAGGAGCCACCCTAGACAGGGAGACGACAGGGCGGCCGCAGTCGGGAACCAGGGACACGCCGCTGGGCCAGTCTTGGCAGATGTCCATGTGCACGCCGGACAGCAGGGCAGCTTTGACCCCCGGCGGGCCACCCACAGGCCGAGCCCGAGTGGGCCTCAGCGCCGCCCAGGGGTTTCAGGATCTGCAGCGAGAAGAAAAAGTCAGATTTCAGGGCTGAAGACAACATTTTAAAATCCGGCTTTAAATAAACATGGAATAAAAAAAGAGCGAGCGGAGCCTCCGGCAGCTGAAATTAGAAGCAGCAACCCTGGGCAGGGGGGCCATCTGTGTGCACCAGGCAGCGCCCGGAGGCGGGGGCTGCCTCGACGGGGAGGGCCGCCGGGACAGGCCAGGCCCCGTTTCCCAGGGCAGCCCCGAGCCCCGACTCCAGAGAACAAGTCCCCTCCTCTCTGCTCCAAACCACCTTTCCCATCACTGTCGGGGCCACTCGAGTCTGATGAGAGGCAGAGAGAAAGGCACAAAGACTGCGGCTCGGGGCGGAGGGGGAGCGAGCCCGGGGCAGCCTGCGTCTGTGTCCTGGGCCTCGTCTCAGCAGCTCCCCGAAGGTCCTCCCCACCCGACCCCAGCCGGGAGGCCCAGGGACGGGACTATTTAAATCTGCACTGTCAGCTACCCGGGAACGATCAGCAGGTGGGTGCCGGAGCTGGCGGACGCGGGATGACGCTGACATGCAGAGGGGGGAGGAGCCCTGAGAAAGTCGGAGCCTCTTCGCGCCCTGGCGCTCACCCCCGCGCCGCCTCCCACGGCCCCTGGAGTCATGCCGAGGCGCACGGATTATGTAAGGGGGCCGGTTGCTGGGGAACCTCTCCCACCCAGCCCTGCCACGCGGCCAGCACCTCCATCTCCTCCACCCGCCAGGAGCCCCTTTGGGCCTTCCCGCTGGCCTGGCCCCCAGGGAAGCTGGGGGGACGTTCTAGGCTGACGCTGAGCCCCAGCAACCATGGCCCAGGAGGCCACACCTGAGCCTGACCTGCACTTCTCCATCTTCCTCTGTGTGTGTCCGCCAAGCAAGCTCCGGGCCTTAGAGACCTTAGAGATCTTGGGGACAGGGTCCCTTCCCGGGCACGCCCTGTGCTCCCTCGGGGACAGGCAAGGTAGGGCACAGATCCCTCCAGGCCCAGGCTGAATCTGTCCCGTGTAGGGCCAACGTTTTGACCACAGTGGAGAAAGCCTTTAAACTGTGTTCAGGTCAAGGATGAGCAGGTTTTGGGGAAAGTGCAAATGTGAGTAAACTGCGGAGGAGGGGGGAGGGAGACAGCCCCCATCTGGGGTGGCAGGAGAGCGGCCGCCCTAACCTGGCCTCCACTCCTGTCCTTCTGTCCACAGACCTGGCCCAGGGCACCCTCTGTGGGGACAGGGTCACTGCTCCACCTGCTGGCCCCGCAGAGGCGGGGTTCTGGCGGGGGGTGGGCTGCGGGCTGCATGGAGGCTGGTGCCCCTCTCCCTTTAATAAACTTTTAATTTCAGGGCAGTTTTCAATTTACACCATTATTGCAAAGATACACCACCCCACGTTTCCTGCCGTCAGCACCTCCCGCCGGCGCAGGGCGCGCGTCACAAATCAGGAACCAGTCTGGCTCGCTGTTGTTAACACAAGTCCACACTCTGTTCAGGTTTCCTTGGTTTTCCTGTCACACCCTGTCTCTCCCCTGGTCGTCACGTCTCCCCAGGCGCCTCTGGGCTGAGCTGTCTCTCCCGTCCCTGGTTTCGAGGGGCCCGGCAGTTCTGGGGGGCGCTGGACGAGGTGCTGGGCTGGCCCTCCATGGGGACGCGTGTGATGTTCCTATGGAGCTTACACTGGGGTGATGGGCTCTTGGAGGAAGACCACAGAGCTGACGGGCCTTCTCATCACGTCAGGGCCCCGTGGGGTCCCAGGGACGCGAGCTAGCTCCCTAGCTGAGGCGCGCCTGCCAGCGTCTCCCGCGCTCTCGGGAAGGCGGTGGCCACGCACAGCCCACACGTAAGGGCTGGGGAGTCTCCTGGAGGAATCCCCACTTTTTAAAGAGCAGCTTTTCATGTGCCTTTCTACGGGGCATCTGGGTGTTTTCCAGAAATGTCCGTCTAAGGGCTATTGACCATAATCTCTAAAACATTTGAGGGCTTGTCAGGTGCCAGGCACAGTTCTCGGCACTCTTCCTGCCGTTTGCACTGCGAGTCTCCCGAGGCTCTGCCCACCTCCCCCCACCTGGGGCTCACAGAGGCCGGGGGAGCGCCCAAGCCCCACTGGGCTGTGCCGGTGACTGGCTCCTGGTAACCGGCTCTTCCTCCACTCTGCGTCCACTCCCTCACCAGCACACCCAGCCGGTAGACACCAGGCCTAACGCAGGGGCAGGAAACGTGGCTGTGCTTTTGTGCTGGACAAAGCTGTGGTGTGCCGGAGGCTGCTGAGGGGACCCTCCTGCTGGCAGGAGCCAGGCTCCCCCAGGCCTGCGAGCTTCCAGCGCAAGGCGGCTCCGAGCTTTCTTGCTGATACTGCGGACAGTCACGGAGAACGTGGGCCTGGCCAGGACCCAGAAAACAGTCCTCTGGACACAATCAGACGGTGTGCCATAACCCTGGCCCAGGCCAGTCACCCGGGGCACCTGGTGTGGACGGGGTCAGCAGTGCAGGCCAGGGCAGATGGGAAAGGTGAGGTCCTGCTAGGTAGGCCCGTCCCTCCGGCCCTGGAACTTTCTGGTTAACGATTACAAGTGCTTTAATCCAGGAAGGAGAAAAGGAGAAGGAGTCTGGATTGGCTGGCTCCTTCTCTGAGAGCCAGGAGGAAGGAGGAAGGCGGAGGAAGAGAGAAATGGCCCCCTTGCCAAGCAAGCACACATGTCCCTGTGATCCGAGCCGAATGGCCACCCCTTAGGCCAAGCTCGGCAGAAACCAGGTTAGGCAGAAAGAGACACGGAGTTTGTGAAAGCCCTTCAAAGTTTTGCTGGGTGGCCACCTCAGAAAGGACTCCTTCTGTTTAGCAAAAATTCACAAACCCTTGTGCCTGCCTGCCAGGAGAACAGCTTGCTTGAAAAGCAAGGCTGTCATCCTGTAATTAAATCTGAGACCCCCCTCCCTACGTGGCGCTGAGATGAAGCCACTTATATAACACGCCTAAAAATAAGCTGATGAAGAGACGCACTTTTATTCTCCCTGCTTCCAGCCCTTTACTCCTGGGCCACCCAGGCTGGGGTCTGCTGAGCTGGGGGTCAGCGTCAGTCACCCCACATGGTCGGGTTCTCACCTCCGACCGTGGCCCAGCAGCCCGCACGCCTCAGGGCCCGGGGCTGGCGCCAGGGCCAGAGGCCCCTCTAGTTCAGAGCTGGGTGCTGAAGATCCACACGGCTACCCATCGCCCCGGTCACGCAGACCACAGAGGTGAGGACCAACAATCAGGCGTGACAGGGAAGCTGGTGGCTACAGAGTGCCAGAGCACCTGCCTTCTCAGGGACCCCTGAGCTGCCCCCCAGCTCTGCCCCGAGGGCCGGAAGAACACCACCCCGGTCTGCGGCGTGCTGGGAGCTGCCCATCTTGGCTGGCGCTGGCCCTCTTGCTAATCCTCTCCGACTTCTCCATCGTGACAGCGCCTTCCTCTTCCCGGTCTTGGAGGGGGCGGGCCAGACCCCAAGTCTAGGCAATGATTTCCCAGCTGCACTGACTGCCAACCTCCAGGCAAGGCACTCGATCCCACAGCCCCCCACACACTCCGAGTTAAGGGGAGAAAGAACAAGTGGGTTTTATAAAGGGCTCAGAACACTCCAGAATAAAAAGGTGCCAAGACAAAGGTGCCCCCTTAACTCTGGGAGCTGGCACAGGGGCTGACCTCTCAGCACCCAGCCCGCCATCTAGCCCTGTCCACAGCTCGGGCCCTAGGCCCTTACCCCTGGCCCTAGCCCCGCCCCAGACTTCACCACTGGAAGGGGCTTCCACACAAGGAGGAAAACCCTCAGAGAACACTGGTGTCTCCCAGGCGGGGGGGCTAAGACCCCCGCTGAAGACTCCTTCACATCTGAAGGAGTGGGCGCGCCCATGCTGAAGACCTTTCTGGAGTCTGGTGGTGCAGAGAGGCCACCAGGCAGGGTATAGGTCTCCAGGCCTCTCTAGGACGGCCTCGCCCACGTCTCACTCTGCGCCTGCCATGGGTCCTGCCAGGTTCTCGGTGATGCTCGGTGCAATGCTCCTTCACTTTCACTGGTGGCAGGTGCCGACTGATGGCTTCCCTCCCCAGGACGGGCTGCAGGGCCATCAGCACGCCGGGAGGCAGGCCAGGCTCCAAGTGGGTCCCCTACCTCAGCCACTACCAAAAGTGAGCATGCCCTCGGGCAGGAAAGTCAAGAGCAGGAGCTTCTAGAGGGTGGGGTGGTGCTTAGGACTACGGAGGCTTCTCTGGAGAGGACCCTCTCCTCCCTCTACTGTTTTGAGACTGATAGGAGCGGACAGCTTAGAACTCTCCAGGCTGATTCCCCTCCCACAGTGATGAGACCCCCCCCTACCCCCGCCATTTCCTAAGGGCCTCCACCTGTCATTCTTCTGGTCCCAACCACGTCACTTCCCTTTGGGCAGGCAGCAGCTCTACCCTCCACCCACCCAGCTCTACTCCACCTCCGCCCTTGACCCAGGTCAGGTCAACGGATGGTAGTCCTGGAGCTGGCTGGACGGAAGCGTGCACAGCATCAAGCTGGCCTGGAGAAGAGGGAAAGAAGGGAAGGAAGACAGTCCCAACTTCAGCTGCACAAGCAGATAAACACCCCAGTAGTTAAAGCTCATCTGAACTGGCTTTCTGTCACTTGCAACCAAAAGAATCCCGGAATCCACTTGAAAACACCGCAAGCAATAAAGAAAAAAGAGGAAACCATAGCTGGGATCAGGAAGGAAATTCAACCAAAAAGGATCTGCCTGTGATCGAAGGCTGGCAGATAGAGCAAGCAGGCTCTTCCTGAATGTCGCTTCCCTTTCTCGGAGGTGCTCCTACGAAGTGGAGCACACTCCATTTGGGTCCCGGGCGCTGTGACTTCAGGACTTGCCCGAGTCCCGTTCTGTCCACAGCCATCTTGCGGGTCTGTGTCCCCCTGGGCACCTGCGCTTGAGGAGACCTGTGAGCGATGGTCCTGGATGGGATACTAGTGGGGAGTGTCAAGCTCCATTAGAGGGAAACACTCAGATCTGCTGTTTTACAACCTGAAGCAAATAATTCCTCTATGTAACTCTAATCTATGTAAATATTTTCGCAAAGCAATGACAGGGGGAGCCGTGTGTGTCAGCTTGGTCAGCTTCCCCAGCAGAACCTCCCAGGAAAGGCCTCCAAAACCAGCAGCTCTGTCTGACCCCTTGATCGCTCAAGGGAAGTTCTCCCTCCACAAAGAAACTGCACCCAGCAAGGGTCTTCTGCCATCGCAGGGTCCTCTCCTCCCCTGGGGGGCCCTGGAGCCCCCCCCCCATAGGGTTCTCTCCCCACCCCCCATCGGCCCCCTCTACGATCTTCCTGGCAAATGCTCTCCGTCCCAGACGACGCTCTCTCTCCTCCCCAGGATTTTCCTCAGGGCCCACCCCACACCCGTGGTCACCCCTCCCAGGGTCCTCCCCTCCCAGGGTCCTCCCCTCCCAGGGTCCTCCCCTCCCAGGGTCCTCCCTTCCCAGGGTCTTCCCCCAGGACGCAACCCCACCCCGGGTCCATCCCTCCCACAGCCCACCCTCCCAAGGTCCTCCCCAGGGTCCACCCCTCTTAGGATCCACCCCCAGGATCCGCCCTTCTCAGGATCCTCCCCAGGGTCCACCCCCTAAGAGCCTCCCGCCCATCCTCCTCCCCGCCGGAGACTCCGCCGGCCCGCACACTCACCTCCCGAAACTCCGGGTCCACGCCGGACCCTGAGACAGCACGCCGGCCTCCCTCCATCCGTTCTTGCGCCCACACGGCCGGCCTCGGGCCGCCCAGGGACCTTCCCCCGCCCGGCGCGAGCCCGCGACCCCCGCCGCCGCCGGGAGCTGCGCCCAAGAGGCGCCGCGACTCGCGACTCTGCGAAGGGCCGCCCCCATGCGCGCCCGCCGCAGCGCCCCCGCTCCCCCACCTTCCGCTCCCCTCCTCCAGCGCCTCCGGCCCACGCCGCCCCGCCCCCAGCCCGGCTGTCGCCCGGCCCCCAGGCTGTTCCCGGGGCTGCGGCCCGCGCCGCGCCTCCGCCTCCTCCCCTGCGATCGACAGCGCTGCCCACCAATCGCTGTCGGCAGTCGGCCCGCGGGCCCCGCCCCTCCCCCGTCTCCGGAACCCACCAATGGGAAGTGCGGTGCGGGGGCGGGGCCTGCCGGTTGCCTGGCAGCGGCGCGGCCGGGCGGGGGCGGGCGGGCGGCCGGGGGCGGTGATCCGGGCGCGGGGGGCGGGGCCCGCGGGGGGCGGGGCCCGGCGGTTATAAAGGCGGGCGCCGCCGCGGGGCCGCGTTTTTGGTCCGGCTCCGCGCGCTGCCCGCCCGGTCCTGCCGCGCCCGCCGCGCCGCCCGCCGCCCGCCGCCCGCCGCCGCCCGCCGCCGCCCGCGCCCCCGCTCCGCTCCGCGGTGCCGCCGGACCAGGACCATGTCGCTGTCGCGCACGGAGGAGATGCATCGGCTCACGGAAAATGTCTACAAGGTGAGCCCCGCGCCGCCGGCGCGCTCGGGCCCGACCCGGGCGGCCCCGGCGCCCTCGGGGGTCTTCTCGGAGCGGCCGCGGGGACCGGCGCAGCCGGTCGGTCACAGGTGGTCGCGGGCGCCCACGCTCCGAGAGCCCCGCGCTGCCCCCTCGCGTCCGCCCCGGCGTCCGGGGGACGGGCCCTGGGACCGGAGTGGAGCGGGGCGGGGGTCGCCGGGGGCCTCGCCGCCCGTCCTCCCGCGCCCCGGGTGGCGTGGGGGCCCCGTCGTGGCCCCTCCAGCCGCGGTTACGCAAGCCCTTGGGCACTTTCTCGTCAACAGGCTTTCGCTTTGCACGACTCCTTCCCGGGCGGTCGTGGCCGGAGCCCCAGGTGGGAGGTCGCGCGCGGGCAGGTTGGACGGGTGGACGGATAATCCGTCATCTTATGTAACCGCGGAGGGGAAGACTAATTGTGTAGGAGGCTGGCGCGCCTGCCTCTGCTTCTGATGTGTGTGAAGAGTGTGGTTCGCGTCCTCCTCTGCACGCTGTCGCTGTCACATCTGAGGGCCGCAGAGCCCCGCCGGGAGACCCCTCTGAGGCCCCCTCCCTGGTCCTTCTGTGCCTTGTGCACATGAGCAGGCCTCTGGGTTTCTTTCTGGCGTCCATTGTGTCAGTTTACACCCTCATCCCTGGGACAACAGACCCAGGCTCCCCGGGGACTCAAGGCCCTCTGCAGCCCCACGCGGGCATGTTCTCAGGAGGGAGACTCATGCCCTGGGCGTCCGCGGCAGGCTTCTTACAAAGCTGTGCTTGATTTCAAAACCCTGTGTGAAGGTTAACTGGTGGGCTGGGAGGTTGAGGTGCTGGGGGTTCCCGTGGTAGGTGCTGGTTCTCGGGGCTAAATGGGATTGTGAGGCGCTGGCGGAGCAAGTTTCTAATTGTACTGAACAGTTATGGCCGTGCTTTCTTAGCCGGGGGCCTGCAAAGCCCTCCCCGTAAGCTCGCCCAGGCTCTGGACGGCCCCCGGGACACTTGCCCCGTGGCCCCTTTTGCTCTCAGCTGGATTTCAGGTGGCAGACTGTCCTCCAAAACGGCTTCTAACAGAGGTTTTAAAGTTCCAGCTCCATCACGGGAAGAATTCTGAAGCCGGTCAGGATTGACTAAGTCAGTTCTGGAGCCATGTTAGAGCTGCTGGTAAACGCGAGTCAGAGGCTGATGAGGAATCGGCACGTAAAAGGAACAGCCTCTGGGGTTTTTGTGTTTGGTATCACAGAGAATCTGTGGCATACGTTTCTGTTGGTGTTGGTCTGCAAACGCTATCAGGGAAAGGAGGTTTATTAAATTATTAGTCATTAGTTCCATAACCGTTTGCTCATTATTGCAGGGGGTGGAAGGGAAGTGCTGGCTAGAGGATCTCTTTCCTATTTTCCCTGCTTCTGCCATGAAACCATGAAACGGGAACTTTCATGGTGAGAATCGCGAGGGGTGCATGGTGTGGCTACACTCTGGGGAACCCCATGATTGTCCTTACTAAAACTCATAAGCTGGATGGTGAGGCATGCAGTTAGGGCTCAGCGGCTTCGAGATGGAGCTGTGATTTCCCTGGAGACCCGAAGGGAGATCTGCCAGCTGGATGGGGGCAGGAAGCTAGTAGGGTCTGAGTGTGAGGACCGTGCACCCCTCTGGAAGCCAGCTGGAGGGTGTCGGGTGCACATTCAACAGGCGAGCCCATGCCCTGTGCCGGTGGGGCAGGTGGTTCATGAGCTCGCGTGGGGGAAGCGTGGCGAAGAGCCCTGAGCTCTGCGAGGCTGGACGCGGCAGGCCTTGGTGTCCGCAGGGCCGTGCCCCTCCAGCCGTCCGGTCACAGCACGCCCACACTGCAACGCCACCAGGTTGGCTTTGTAGGTGACACTCTTCCTGACGCTCCGTGGCTTGACTGCCAAGTCTTGGAGTGCCAGCACTCTTACCCTTTTGTGTTATGTCCCGGGAGAGCTCAGTGTTCCGAGGCCTAGCCGGCGCTGGGGGGCAGCATGGGCACCCTGGCCAGGCGGAAACCAGCCCACACCGAGGCACAGTCAGGGAGCCGCCCGTGTGGACCTGGCTGGTCCGCCGTCCTGTCGCGGGGGGAGCTGGGCTGCCTCTGCGCCTGGGTCGGGGGCTTGCGGAAGCGTGGCCGGGCTGTGGCCCTGCTCAGTGTCCCCCATGCTGCAGCCCAGCTGTTTGCTTTGGCCCTGCACCGTTCCAGCTGCAGTTCTGAGTGCTGTTTGCCTTGGCAAGAGAGGGAGCAGCAGGGACGCTCGTCCTTGGCCTTGCTGATTAAAAATGTGAGAGTAGAATGTACTCCTGCCTGGAAGAATCAGCCACATGGACTTTTACCTCTTTCCTTGTGGCCCGGTCCCTGTGGGAGCCACGTCCTGGAGGAACTTCATGAGAGGTGCAGGGAGAGAAGTGGAATGGCTTCCAGGAGGCCGCTGAGAGCTCACCTTCTGACCTGGGGCAGGGGGACACGCACTGAAGCCTTTTGGGGGGAGGCATGAGCCTGGGCCCTTCGGGGGCTGGAGGTGCAGGGAGCAGAGCCTGGCGTCCAAGACTAGTCTGGGGGGCAGCCCTGGGTGGTTGCCTGGAGTGAGGGACAGAGGGGGGCAGGCATCTACTGCTCAGAATTAAGCCCAAACCATAGCCCTCCTGGGAGAGACCTCTGAGTGACCCAACATGCTGGAAAGAGGCTTCTCCAGTAGCTGACCTCACTTCCCCCGGGGGCTTTGGGCAACAGTCAGGTTGGTGTTTCTTTTCTTTTTTTTTTTTTAAGATTTTATTTATTTATAAATAGAGAGACAGCGAGAGAGGGAACGCAAGCAGGGGGAGTAGGAGAGGGAGAAGCAGGCTTCCCACGGAGCAGGGAGCCCGATGCGGGGCTCGATCCCAGGACCCCGGGATCATGGCCTGAGCCGAAGGCAGACACTTAACAATTGAGCCACCCAGGTGCCTTTGACTTTCATTTTCTTTCCTTTATTTTTTTTAAGTACTATATCTTATTTTTAATTTTTAAGATTTTATTTATTTATTTGACAGAGAGCCACAGCGAGAGAGGGAACACAAGCAGGGGGAGTGGGGGAGGGAGAAGCAGGCTTCCCGCGGAGCAGGGAGCCCGATGCGGGGCTCGATCCCAGGACGCTGGGATCACGACCTGAGCCGAAGGCAGACGCTTAAAGACTGAGCCACCCAGGCGCCCCCAGGTTGGTGTTTCTCATGGTCGTAAGTGCCAGAAGAAGCCGTGGCTCTCGGCCGACCTTACGAGCCTGGAGGCTGGCAGCTGCAGCAGCTTCCCAGGGACAGTCGCGTTGCTTGTCCTGAGGAAGTGGGCAGGTGGGAGGCAGCCTGAGGAGGCGGGCTCCCTAGGAGGGCCTCGGGCCGGTGGTTTACGGGGGTGCGGCTCTGGGGCCTTGGTCAGCAGGGCCAGGCTGGTTGCTAGAGGCTGTCTGCTCGTCCGCACCCCATAACTGTTGTGGGGAAGCTGGCCCCGCCATGCCATAGCTGCCCTGCGGGTGGCGGGTGACGTGGGGTTCCTGGAGCCAGGAGTCGGTCAGGCTTGACACCCCTGGTGCCCTTGGTAAGGGCTGGTGCCGGGTGGGGGCATTGGCGCTGTGGGAGGGCGCCGACTCGCTGGCTTTTCCCGTGGTGGCCTGGCCGCCCAGGCCCTGCCCACTGCCCTCCGCTGTGTCCCACCCATGCCTCCGGGTGGGTGTTTGGGGGGGCTCTGGGCAGCCCTGTGCCGCCGGCCTCAGACCCGCCTTCCCCTCACTCGCGGCTGGGCAGCCCCACCGAAGCGTTTGCTGCCCTCAGAAGCCTGGCGTCTGCTGTGGACGGAGCTCAGGGGCCCCCGGTTGGAGAAAACGCAGTGGACTGAGAGGCACCTCGTCGGCAACGGAAGCGCCTGCTGGGAGGAGCGGGGCCGGTGTCTGCTTGGGGGGCAGGCGAGAGCCACAGCGCCATGCGCACCTCTGTGCACGCGCGTGCGTGTGCGTGCGTGTGCGCGGATGAACACGTGTGCACGCGAGTGTGCGTGCCTGTGCGTGAGTGTGAACGTGAGTACGCGTGCATGCGTGCAGGTGGTGCTTGTTGGCTTTGCTTTAAAGGTACTTTCAGGGGTGCCCATTGGGGTCCTATCTTCTGACAAGGTGGCAGGGCCTGCTGTCACCGACTGGACTGTCTGAGCTTCGCTTCTCCTGGGTGTGTACGTGGCGCCTGTCCGTCCCCGCCACCAGCATTTGAGGGGTGCACCTCCCACCCCTTTTCTGGAGTAGCTAGGGCAGCAAAGGGGAGTTTCTGTGGTGCACTGACCTCGAGCTGACTGGCTGTGGCAGCTCCTTGTGCCCAAGTCATCGCGGAGATCGTCGGCTCCGTGGCCCAGGACCCTTGCCGGCTCATGGGGTTCCTGGTGTATGGCCGATGAAAAAACAGGGCAGCCTGGAGACGCCAGGCTCAGGCCTGTGGTTCTGCGGAGTTCTGAGCAAGTGTCTTGCCTGCACTGTCCCTATGGGTCCTGCCCTGAACACATGTCCTGTGTTTGGGAGGTTGGTTTGGCTCGTGGGACTAACCCGTGGGCACCCGAGGCTCTAGGTCACAGTGGTGACTGGTGCTGGCCCTGGGCTTTTGGGGTGCCGTCAGCAGGGAGAGGCACTGGCAGTGCCGCAGTCTTGTGGCTGCCTGGTTTGCGGTGACATCCCCCCGTTGGCAGTGACGCCCCCCGGTTGGCAGTGATGCCCCCTGGTTTGCGGTGACATCCCCCCATTGGCGGTGACATCCCCCCGTCAGCGGTGATGCCCCCGGTTGGCGGTGACGCCCCCTGGTTTGCGGTGACATCCCCCCATTGGCGGTGACATCCCCCCGTCGGCGGTGATGCCCCCCGGTTGGCGGTGATGCCCCCCGGTTGGCGGTGATGCCCCCTGGTTTGCGGTGACGCCCCCTGGTTTGCGGTGACATCCCCCTGTTGGTGGTGAAGCCCCCTGGTTGGAGAAGCT